ATACAGTTTCTGTTGGCTATGTGACATTAAAATACATAGGCATGAGGCCATTGTTTGCTTTCTCCTTTGAATGGTAGATTACTCATTCCTCATTGCCCAAGCAAACATGGACTGGAATTGATGCAACAGCATTTCCCTCACTGGAAACAACATTGCCTCTGGTCTGTATGCAGACTGAAAGTATGCTGAACAAATTTTCATATTAATTAGTGCTTATGTTTAAGATCCCCTACTCATGCACAAGCATCTCAGCAAACAGGCTTTAAACTGTTCAATGCTGAGCCACCCTGGAGTTCCTTTTTAAGCTTCCCGACAGGCAAAGGCACAGAAAATAATAAGATAGGATATTTGTACTTTTTTAAAAAAACACTGTATTTCCTACAAAATGAAGATGTTGCAAGACTGAAGGAGCTTTTTGTTTTGTGCTTATTTTTACTGAAATCCCTATTGAGAAAGTCAGCTCTTAGGAAAGGAAGGGAAGACCAAGAATCTGGGAGCTGCGTGTCAGCAGATAGACAGCCAACCTCGAGCACAAACAGCTTGAAGTTCCACTATTGCTAGAATATACTTCCTTGAGCACTCTTCTTACATACAACAGAAACATTTCATGTTGAAAAGACACACTGTGCCTTGGGTTTGTGAAAGGAACATCCATCATCTCAAATAAAAAGTCTACTTAGAGGGAGAAACACAGCATTGACGAGAACACAGATACTCAGGTTTACACAAAAAGTTCATCAGAAAATATTATCTATCAAAGTCATGCCTATGTTGAAAGCAAGACTACAGTGTTAGTGGTAACAAGAACGTCAGATGGCTAGATGAGCATTTAATACTGGGCAGCCTTCGGGTTACTTATTTATTCTATTATTAACCGCTTTGGTATCAGTTTCAAAACAGCAACCAAAGCCGAAAAGAAGTGAGCTTATAACACGTTAAATTTGGCTTCAGTATAACCTGGCCCTACTGCTTAGACATCAAGTCATAACAATCTGTACTGCAGCCCCTCTCCCAGATTTCTGGTCAGGGCTAACTCATGACAAAAGTTCTTCCTGAGGTATTTTTTACAATTGCTTTCTGGGTTCTGAACAGTGGATTTACAAAAGATGAACAAGTTAGGTGAAACTTTCTTATTTTATTAAACTTCTAGCCTTTGGACATTGAGTCATCTGTCATCCATGCAAGCACAATTCATATATTGTGCATTACTCCTGATGCACCTCGCACGTCCCTCTTTGTGACATGGCATGTTTTTGTCTCTTTACTTTCCATCATCTCTCCTCAGATTTCTTTTAAACACCTCCAACTGGTGTCTAGACACAAGGATACCTGAACTGGTATTAACAGAGTATTCAATATTATTTTTTTTTTTTTGTGACATTGGTCAGAAAATGCCCATCTGCTCTTTTTCAGATTGATTTGCTGAAATGATTTGCTATTGTACAGTAGAAACACAGAAAAACATGAAATTGTTCTCAAAAACAATTTTTCTGCACAACTAACACATTTGTATCGTTCATCTATCAGCCCGTTTGTTCCAATGAGGACAACATCAATACGACTACTACTAGATTAATTTCATGATGCTATGTAGCAAAGAGGCAGGAAAAAGGTTCACATGTTAAAAAAAGGGAACAGAGGACATAAAACTATTTCCCTAGAGAAGTCAATAAAATAAACATGATTCCATCACTAATAAGTTTGAAACCTTTGAGTGATTTCTAAATTGGCCATTCCATTCTCTGGTCCTGCCATGTCCCTACAACTTGGTGCAACAGCTAGCGATGTTTGTTGTCTGTCTGAGAGGAAAATAAAAATAAAACCTAAGAAAATGTCCTCTCTATCCCCCATCTTTTTTTTTTTCTTTCTTTTTCTTTTTTTTAATTGCTTCCCTAGTAAAGGTTTTTGAAATCTGCTAGATACAGTTATTTTGGAAAGATACATTCGTGAGTGGTTGCTTTACTCATGACTAAAAAACTGATTCCGAAAGCTAGTACTGCAGTCAGACAGTGAGTGACTTCAGAGTCTGCAAAACAGCAAAGATTTACATTCGCAAGGCTGGGTGGGATTGTACCTGCCTCGCTTTCAGTTCTGCAGCCACTGTGGAGAACAATGTAAGAGAAAAGACTGCAAAATGTTTAGACCCTGCCTCTTTATGGTTTTGTCTAAACCCACACAGACCTCTCCCAGGCTCTCCAGACCAGAGATCTATTGCATAAATTTTTCCTTCTGGCTCATGCACTGTTGGATTCTTCTTGAGAGAAAAGCAAGGGAACACGGTGAGTGAATGAAATAAAGGAAGTACAAGGATTCGAATGAAAAATATAACCTGTGTGCATAGAGAAAAGAGCTGAGAATAAGATTTATATCGCCGGCAAATTTATTTCTAGGATTACTAAAGTGTACCTTTCCCTCCCAGTTTGCACAATCTGCTCCCAACATATGGAAGCAAGCTTTTGTTTGCTTTTAGGTTCAAAGACATTATTTTTCTTCTAGTCTTTTCTGTGGAAGAGAGAAGATGGGGTGAAGAATAACTTGTTTTAGCAATAATTAATGGTTCTGATGGTTTCAAATGGTACACCACCAATTTCTGAGTTTCACTGACTTTCTTCTATTTTAGAACCCGTCAGCACAGAGAGCTCAAGAAATGCTGCACCACCACCACCACAACGCACACAGCAATTCTCTTCTTTCTTTCCAGATTCAAAATTGTTTTCCTAAGCAACTGCTCTACAACAAGCTAGTTTGTATTACAAATATTTTAAACATTTTCCCCACATAACTGCATTTTACGCACAAAAAATATGAACTACTTTGAGAAGTTATATTCAATAATACAGAGGACATAGATAGCTTCTGTATAAAGCTATCTCATGCCTAAACCACAGTATGACTACACTCTCAGGAACAGAAAAAATACCAACAATTATCCCTTGTGGTTATAATAGTGGTCTCAGAAAAACTATACCTAATAAAATACAGTCCACATTGCGAGAAATGTCTCAGTAAGGATCCCTTCAATAAAGATCTACATATAAAGTAGGGTGCCACTTTTAAGGCAGAAGCAGAGCAATTTGTAATTTTGCCATGATTTATATTCATCTCTTTTATAGAAGCAAACATCCGTGTTGGCTCCCATGTTTGATTTCTGCATGTCAGTACTTCACAGCATGGCCTGCTGTGCTGGGAAGACTTTGTTGACATTTAAAACACTTCCATATTCCTGTTTTAATTCAGATCACAAACACATCTTTGAAATTTCCCAATCATCCCCACTTACTCTGATTCAGTTCATATGGATTGGTCTTGGAACACAGAGCTCCCAGACCAAGCTAAGCCAGAGCCCACCTAACATACAATTTCAGCACTAAAAGGTGTCCAGTTGCAAGAGCCTGAAAGATCTCCTCCCATCACCAAAAGCTGGGTTAGCAACACTCTAAATTTTCCTAGTGCTCCACACTAGCTGCTCATGTAGGCTTAGCCTTTGCTTTCACATGCCTAAAACAGGCATTTTTGTTAGCAAAATATCTCTGAGAGGATTATTCTTAAAAAATAATTAGAATGTACAACTAAATGTCCTTTACCTATGCCAAAACCGTACTATGGTCTCTGATAGATATTGTATCCACATGTTATTAAAACAATGACAGCCAGACTAAAAACTTTTTTCCATGGTGAAAGTTACTTAAGGAAGAGCCACGTGCCTCTGACACAACTGCTTTTGTCAGCAAAGGGAATAAGACATTTGTAGACAAAGTTTTCTGTCCCTTTTGGAAGGAAAATATTTCCAATTGGATGTGAAAAGTAGAAAGGTAACTACTGAATATCCTTTTTGTGCAGGTAGTTATAATAATGCTTGTTTTCAATAATGGAGAGATTAAGAGATAAAATGAATATTGGTCTATAAACTCTTACACAAACCAAACACCGTCCCTTCAGAACACGCTTATTCTCAAGTTCATTTCAGTTAGCACGGCTTTTCAAAGTGGACAAACCAATCCTCTCATGTTCCCCGACAAATTGCCCAAGTTGTTCAGCACTGTTATTTGGGCAAGGTCTCCAGTCAGATGGGTTTGCTAATGACTCCTGTAAGGTGCTTAAATCAGAATCTAGTATAACACATGACTGCCATGTTTAATTACTCTGTTACCAAACAATATCCATTGAGATGTGTTATGTAGAAGTCGGAGGTTTTAATGATAAATACAAAGACAGAATAGTCTTTTTCATTTCAATGTAGTAATTATTTGCCCATGTGCAATCTTTCCTAAGATCAGTCGTTCAGAACAACTGTTATAGCAGAGGCAGACATTTGTACAACTTACAAAACATTTCTTAGTCAACGTGCGCTAACAACGGACACAGGATTTTACTTGCATCAGTTGAACATATTTTTAAACTATTCAATAATTTTCTGTAGGTTTGCCTGAATGCATTCAGCTGCTGAAAGGAAACTGGGATACAACCATGATCTTAAACTACTTTTTTTTCTCTCAGAAGGATAACTCAAATGTGCTCCTTAGCTTCATTTCATTTTGCAAAACTATTTTTTTGGGGTAGACTTCAAGCTCAGCACTATACACAAAACATCTCACATATGCTAACACTGCAATCAAAGCCTCAATTGCAGGCACAAGATGGTGGCAAACTATTTGCTGCTACAACTAATGTAAATTAATACGAGAAAACCAGACTCCTTTTGAAAACTTTCTTTAGGATTTTTTTTGGGTAAAACTTCTTTTTTCCTCTTAGGTCACTAATCAACACCTGTGAACTGCCAAAACAGCTTTTGTTCCTTGACCCATGAAGCTACCTCCTGAGTTACAGGACAGGACACACCAAAGAAAACAACTTTGATAATGTTGACAACCCCTCATTGGTAACAAGGGATCATGAGAGCTCTGGGGCTTGGACTGTCTCTGGACTGAGTTCCTAGAGAGTGGTCTGAACAGAAACCTGGGCTTTTACTGATGATAGCAATTATGGATAACACAAAATAATTCAGGTTTAGATTTTTAACATTTATTAAAAAAGCAGGATGTATGTTCATTTCAAATTAAACCGTTAAAAATGTTAAAGCATACAAACAAATCAATTGTGTGCTAGCAGCATCCAATTGTTAGAATTTTCTAGAACTCCTCAGTACAGTCTTGGCAAGCTAAAAATATTACAACTTGCAACCAACTGACCTCACCATAGTGCAGATAAAACAAACTTTATAAAAACAACAATTTAAGGTTAAATAAGCTTAAATAAAGGTGTTAAATACAAGACACTTGATCAAAGCTTCTGTACAAAGATAAACAAATTTGGCATTGTACAATTGATTGGCTGGCTCACACCGTACATGATTTCAATAGTTAAGCAGTATAACTGTTTAGCTGAACATCAACTATACAAAAGTAACTGAAGTTGGGAGTGGGCTAACCCCAGTGAGCCATATACAAGGCATGTGTATTTTTAGAAAATCAGAACACTGTTTATATTCAGGCACCATTTGCTCCTGCAAATAAATAATCTCTAATGTATCTGCATCCAAACGAGTGTTAAACACATCAGTGCTAACATTTTATAAACACAGCTTTGTGACTATTCACTATACCTCCATTCTTATTGCTATGACAATGTGGACTGTGGAAATAAAACTACTGTACATACAAAAAAATAGAGCACCTTTTAAACATTAAAGTATATGTCTGGTTATTCTTTTTATCTTACAATACTGAAGCCCAAGCTAATGTAAATTGCTATAGCGTTTTCACCAGTGCACCTGAAATGTAGGAACTAAAACCCCGAATATTCCTCTTCAGGCAAGCCCCAGACAGAGCATCTTCTAAAAATGTCTAAAATGACACTAAGGATTTTTTACATTCATCTGCACACAAACAAATATCTGCTATTCTCTGCTTTCTTCATATGAATTTAAAGACTGATTACCACAGCTCTCTCTCCCTTTCAAATGAATAAAGCTGGACAGAGAACGTAGCAGAAACACCTAAAATGGATTGTGAACACAGTGAAATTATTACCCCGCTAATTCAAAAAATACAGCTGTTACATTGTTCAAGTAAGTATTTTCCAGGGGCCCAGTCATTCGGATTTTTTGTCTATCGTATTGAAAAACCACTCTGTAAATTTCCTCAGTTGAGCAGCTGCTGTTTGAGACTCCTCCTGAAGTCTCATGTTATCTTGTCTCAGATGCTGCACCTCTGCTTGGAGAACTGCCTTGTCCTGTTTTTCCTGGTTAACAAAGATACAAGGTGAGTAAAGTGAGTAGTCGTAATGACAACATTTATTTTTGTTGTTAATATTTCTGTGCAAGTCATACAGCTATATTTTTGAGCTCCCTAATCCACTCTGAAAACTACTAACTGTAAGTTAATACCCCAAATATGCTCCACCTACCTCATTCGTTCTGAGAAATTATTGCACGCTAAAAAGAAAACTAGATGTTACTTTTAATACAAAAATTTTAGGAGTTTACTGCATTTAACAAAATATTCAAGCACTAAAAGGATAAAAAGCTTTTAGCTATTACAAATCATACCTGGGAGCCCAAGTCATAAGGAATTGATTTCAAGCAGACATTAAGGAAGAAAAATATCTAATTTGAAAATTTTCCCCTACATGATTATTTTCTTACCAAAAGCAGTCTCATTTCTATCAGTCCTGGCATTGTTTCCAACTCAGAAATTAGACAGTAGATGAGACACAAAGCAAGATACCACAAGGCAACAAGGATGACATATCTGGAGTGTTAACTACTTAGCAATAGTGCCCATGTCCATATCCCATTCCTTTGTTAAATCCAAGGTACCATAAATGAAGATTAAGTGCCTCATTCTCCCTGGGGTATGACTATATTGTAGGACAGTTATTCTGGAGAAAAGACCCGTAAGCCTTGGAGCAGCTTGTTCACCCAACCATTCCCACAGGACCTTCTGCACCTGATGTTTAACTGATGTACTTTTTTCAAGCCCTTGATGAACTCTGCATAAAATTATAACTATTAAAACCGGAGAGTAATAATATTGCTAATGATCTCTTACCTTTCTCAGATCGGTTTGTAGTTGCCGGAGGATGACTTCTAGCTGGTTTACTTTTCCAGTCAGAGTACTCGGAGCATGTTCCCTGTAAAGTAAATCACTGCCTTCATTCTGGGTTTGTTAAAAACACTTTCTTCCCCAGCTTTTGCAGAGTAACACTTTTAGTGATAGCAAAGGAAACAAATCAGTCTAGCATAGTTAGGAAAACACAGACAAAACCAGCATCAGCAAAAGACTGTTACTGGAACACAAACCCATTGCTGCAACATCTGAGATATGACACTGCTTCTCATGCAAATCAGGCAGAAATTACAATGATTTTAAGAAGTAATGTTTTAGGAATTATTTGCACATACCCTCACAGTGGAAGTCAAACTTGCTGCTAAACGGTGTGTCAAGCACATTTGCTAACAAGCTGCTTTCTGATAAGGACTGTACTAATCTGAAGCAAGCTGCAGCAACAATTACTGGAAACCAAAAGAGCTGTTAAGAGTTCTTTTGTCTGGTCTGCAGTTGTGTCATTTCCAGCAAAGCATAAACCTACGGCTTTATGGAGACAAATATTTTGTTTAAAGGTCAAAACATATGAAATATTGCCACAGGTTAATCAAAGGCATGACTGCAGGAAAATACGGGGAATAGCTTCTGTTTCCTCTGTGACAATGAGCACTGTGGGAGACAGTTTCACATACTGTATAGATGAAATTACCCATAATGTGAATCATTTTGTCTAGAAAAGAGAAGCTGAAGAGAGAAGCTTTATACACAAAGCTGAATCAGCTGCTTCATGCAAATACACAAATCTGACAGATCTGCCAGTGCTAAAAGTGGAACATCTTTAACAGCCTTTTGCAGTCCTTACTGATCACTGGGCTGGGGAAGGATGTGGACTTAGGAGTCATTACAATAAATGCGCTTTACCATGTAAGTTAATTTGTGTAAAATTGGTTCAAATTAAAATGCGATTGTCTAACAAGCAAGAAGGCTTCTCCCTCCATTTACTCCATTCCTGCAGCTGAAAAGCAAAACTAATCAAAGATGTGTTTTTCTTTTAAAGTGTGCTAGTGGACAGGTTATACTGCTAAATCTATGTTTTAACAAGTATACGCCTCACAGCAGGGAAGACAGGGGAAAAAAAAAAAGAAAAGAAGAAGGAGAATAATGTCTCCCCGAGCATTGGGAAAAATTTGAAGAATGGGTCAGTTTGGCATGAAAGTTCCCAGCAGTCCTCAGTTACAGGTTCCCTTGATTCATTTACCTCTGTATAAATGAAAAAAATATGGATTTGCAAGTAGCAAATAGTTGCAAAAGGTAGGTAGGAACACCTGTTCCAAGGTCTGAGATGTTTGCTGCAGATAAGGTTATTGTATACTACAGAACTGAGCTCCTGTTATCGGTTCTATTCAAATTAAAGTAGAAATAAACACAACACAAATTACTATCACATAGGAGGAATAGTGAAAAGTTTGATTAGCTGAAACTCTGCATCTAACCGTGCTCTGCATCAGAGTCCTATTCCAGTGAGTGAGTTTTATCTGACTATATTAGAACTGCTCAGAGGCTGATTACAAGAAACAACATTTTTTCAAAATTAAAGACACGGTAAGTCAAGGCAATAGGTCTGCCATCAAACAGCAGTGAAACATGCATACAGGCAATTTGACATGCAACATTAAGAGAAAAATATTTTCTTAAAGTATTTTTTGTAAGAAATAAGCTTTAATTCTGACATACCCAGTAGCCTCAAGGAAATCTTTTCCTTCTGTGGGACTCTCATCCAAAGGTAACTCTTGTGTTCCCTCCAAGCCCCGAGCTTGCTGCATATCACTCAAGGTGCAAAAAGATGCTACTCTCTGATCTGTAAAAAAGTAACATAAGGATATGTTTAAAGCTGGACAGATATGCAAAACAAAAGGCCATATTATAGCCATTATCCTGGTTCAGTTAGAGAAATGGATGTAGGTTTCTACATCATAGCTTTGAAGATAATCAGCAGATGTAAAGTATATTTCAAATAGTTGGCTTGCCCACATCTGCATCCAAAGGCAACGTCAAAGAAACTTTTAGTGTCTATCAACAGAGTAAGACAGATTTGTTTGGACCAGTTAATGCTCATATGAACAGTAAATTGGTCTTGATGAAATCTGCAGAAAACCATTTGAGAATTCAAGGTCACAACCAATGACAATAATAATTCAGCAAAAAGATTTGCTTTTTCCATGGACTTTAAGCCATGAGACTCCCCATAAATCCGCAGTGTTCATTTCGTACTGTTTTACTGTCTCAAGCATTTGGAGAACCTAATGGTAATCTGCATACTTGAAAAACAGTAAATTCACACTATTTTTATCAGCTGAGGTTTTTATATATATATTACTAAGGCACGCTATTATCTCCATTGGATTCCACTAGAACATAATCTAACAAGCACAGATGTAATTACCTATGGATATACAGTGTGGCTGCCAAAATACATCAGTCACCACATAAAAGAAGTATGCCATGCAGATCATCATTGCACAGAACAGGAGTAAATGATGCATTCATTAGGATTTAATTTGTCTTCTTAAAAAAAAAAATCCTTATTTTGTGGAGATTGATTTAACTTATTTCTGTCAAACAAAATCCATGTCTGTAGGCTTGTATAAATTCTGGCGACAACATGCCTGCCTTGCCCTTTATCCCCTTGCTCTACCACCCCGCAGGCCCAAAGCTTGCATTATCATGCAAACGTGCAAACGTAGGAAATATTAAAGAAAGTTTACAAAAGGCAAAATTCATCAATCCCAGACCATCACCTAGAAACGGCGTGTGATGACAGAACGGCCCAAATTCTTCATCTGAGTCAAAACCTGGAATAAGATTTAGAATGTTCCTATAAACAAGACAGTCCATCTCCACGGGAGCAGCTGTGGCCCTCACACCCAGCGGGACACTCCCCGACAGCTCACGCTGGCTCTCACTCTCAGCCTTGCAACGTCATTTTTACAGAACACCAACATTACAATAAAGCATGAGGTGTCATGCCCTGTGTCTCTAATACCCAGTATTGCAACACAGCATGACAGCTTGGCTTGGTACATAAAAAGACAGCTCTCCAAACTCTAAGTAGCCAAGTAGTGAACACAGGACTGATCATTTTAACTAGGAAGTAAATTTTGGTTTAAAAGTTCTACTGAACAAAACCAGGAAATCACTAAAAAGCTCTTTTAAAGGGATTTTTTAAATGAATAGTTTTAATGAAGAGCAAAGACTGACAATTTATTTTATAAAACAATGAAGAAAAGTTGCATGCCATTTTTTATCCCATCTTAAAGACCATGGCTCATTTCCCTGCCTTGATCCTTATTTCTGACTAGCGATGGATCTCAGCAAATATGAACATGACTTTCATACGTGCCGAAAAGAAATTAAATATAATTTTAAACTCATAATCAATGACATCATTTACTTACTAAGTCGAATAGATTTAATTAGTAGAGATAAACTAAAACTACTTTCCCAGAGCAAATGCAGGACGTAGGCCAGAAACGAGACTGTGTAAACAATCAGTTTGAAGCACATATCTAATTAGTGATTTCACCTTTATACTGTTCACATTTTCATTACCACTTGATAGAAGAAAACAAAGCCAGCAACAAATGTTATGCTGTTGCTATTTTTCTACGGCCAACAATACGTGACATGTGACATTGTGTCTCGGAGGCAATTCTACTGTAACATTAAACAAATAAAAAATCTGCATTTTTCTCCCTCTGTCAAGTAACCTTAATTAAAGAGAATGGCCACTTGTCTGGTTTATTTTGTCAGCTGAGGAAATGTTTTGTCAGTTTGTTCTGCCCAGCAGTACTTGAAAGCATCTTTTTCTTGATGGATAAAAGCAGGTGCAACACCAGGTACATGCAGCTGTCAATGAAATCACATGATGCCATTTTTAAACACACTATTTTAAAATATTTTTATATTATTTCCACACACAACGAAAATATAAAATGTGGGCACTGGCAATGAAGTATAATGTGTGGACTGATTTTTTCTTCCTTGTGTAATAACTAATGAATTTCAGCTTCATGTAATTTAAAAATAATATTAACACTTAGAGGAGGAAATTAATTGTTAAACTTTTCTATTTTCCTAGTGTAACTTAAACACATTTTTCCAATATTCATGTCTTTAGAAAAAATGAAACCATATTTTCATATTCATCAGGTGAGGAATAAAGTCACTACACAGCCACTAATAACCAGAAGTCTCCAATCATATAACATGCTATGTAAATTCCTACTCTTCAAAGAGTAGTTCCTTAATTTTCAAAAGCCAGGTTAGTATCAAAATGACTCTGAACAAGTTAGTAACACAGTAAACTTCTGTAATAAGTAGACCTCTGTAACAAGATCCTGGACTAGCAAAAATGTTGCCGTTGATTACTTTTCAAGTACTTTAAAGACACATTTTTAATTTTAGCAATTGTATCAAATTGCGCTAATATCCCTATAAGTACTTATGCTTAGCTGTGTTTCACCAATTTATCATTCAAATTAGAACTGGTTTTAAATCTGAATTGTGGTGAAGGTTGAACTTGTGCTCCAAAGAGCAAAATCTTTCTGATTATTTTTGTTTTACTTGTTCTTCACAGGCTTGATTCTGTATTCATGAAAAAGGACTCAAAGCAGATAGTTCATTTATCAAAAGAAAAAATCAAGTCTATTTCTGACTGTGATGCTGTAGACATAAGTCCTGCTTCCTCCAAATGACAGGGACACCTCCTATTCAAGTGATATGTGCATACTAAATAAAATATATGTAAATCTCAGAGCTGTTATTTTTATCTGGGACATCCTTGCCAAACACTGCACAGAGCCCATGCATAGAAAACTATTTGCAAAAACATATTGGTGTTTATAGCAAAAAGTTTAAGCAACAGTTGACTTAGCAAGACCAAAGATGAGACAAAAATAATGTTTCACTTTAAAGTAACAGAATTGTACAGTTGTTACCACTAAGAATTTGAACCTGGATTTTTATTGTTCCAGTCCACTAAGGGAGACCAGAAAAAACTCTACACAGTTTTGATGTACTGGACAGAGGAAAGGGCTAAAATGGGTATAGCGCATGAAGCCACTCTCTCACTATTAAGGCAAAATCTACCCACAAACGTACACTGACATATGCACTGAAGCAAAGAGCTACACATGCACGCACTAGCAATGACCAAATGTTAAATAAAGATTTTCATTTTTTCCTTATACTAATTTGGTTAAAATAATTATCCTGCATGCCAAATGCTTCACTTCTTTCTCATTATGTTATGTGTAGCATTACTTGCATTGATCTATAAAGGTTTTAAATGGAAGTATTAAAATAATATTAATTATAGTAGCACAGATGTTTCTGCAAAGATAAACTGACATTAAGAAACACTGCATTCTGACTGGCACTAGCAGACATTCATAACCTGGCAAAAAATCAGAAGTAGAAACCACCTATTTTAATGAACTAAACCAGGGGCATCAGAGGGACTTTCTTAGGTTGTTAATTCCCACAGTATGATTTACCAAACACTAAACAGCTTTTTTGTTTTTTTTTTAAGCACAATAAACCCAGTTTAAAGTAGGACAAATAGTAAAAAGATCTATTTATAATAGTAATCAATATTTATGTTTGTGTCAATTCTCTTCTGTAATGACAGTAACAGATACAGACATCTAGAAAGGCTTCTCCTTTTGTTCCCCAAAACATTGACAAGATCCAAAATTAGCAATCAGCAACATAATACACATGCTGAAAGCCAGTCCTTTTTCTCTAACTTGAAGATCTATCAGAAGGATAATACAAAAAGATAACTAAAAAAATGTTCTCTCCTTTTCCCTTACTCTTCTCTGAGACTTCTTTGTTCTCCTTCTTCTAATTTGGCTTTCCAGTTTATTCTATAAATCCCCATATCTTTATCTTTACTCAGTTCAACATGTTGCTTGCTTCCTTTTTGATTCTTTAGCTTTTCCTTCTTCACCTCAACTGCCCTCCCTAAAGCCCTACCTCTTTTGCTGTACAGTCACATCAAGTTCTATCTATTTTTTATTTGTTGCTTCAGGGACGGAGACAAAAGTATTACGACAATGTACGTCTAGCACGTCAGCTGCTCCCTGGTTACCATCTCTCTGCAGCTCCCACTAAAATAAAAGGAGGGAACTGGAAGTGGCCTATCCATGTATGAAAGAAATGGAAGGAGATCACTTGCTACTGACTGCGTGCAGGCTAAAGATGGTCTCTGGCTGAATATCAGTGTCAAAACCGTGTCCTGCAAAGGAAGGCAGTGTGGAGACTTAAAATAACGTTCCACTGTGCTCCATCATAAGGAGTCTGACCCTCAACAGATACAGCTCAAGAAAAACCCCTTATTGACACAGATCCTGGCGCCTGTGGAGTTAACCCCTGCACAGCTCTCCATTGCATGGTGAAGACCTGTCTTGGGATTATCAGAGGATTTTCAGGAAGAGTTTGAAGCACATATTCAGCTTCCCACAAAAGTTCTTGCCAAGCAAAAGCAGTGAAAATTAAGTCTTCAGAAAGTGAAAAGCATTACCATCACACTTTCAATTAAAAAAAAAAAAAAAAAAAAAAGTCATGGTCATGACTAACTCCACTCTCATGGACCACAGTATAAAAACTGCTGTTCTACATAAGACCAAGGCTTCAGTTGGATAAAAGCTAATACTAAGTAATAAAAAACCCAGTCAAATGTTCATTTGGAGGGAGAGGGGGAAGTTGGAAGTAAGACTGCTGTTTTTGTTGCATCCATTAGTAAATGCTGAGTACAGATGATGGCAGCAAAGCTCTTGCTACTATATTTAATTCTTA